TCGATGGCGGTCCAGCGAACGGGCAGACGCCTCGGCGAGTCCCGACTGACGCACGCCGCCGACTCTTGACCGACGAATGTTTCTGTCTCCTTTCAAACGCCGTTTCGTGTCACAAATCATCTCGTTCATTTCTTCAGTCATGCTTCCCTTTTGTTTTTTTTGTATTTGTGCTATTGGACGTGACGTGTTGATTTCCCACCGGGCGGTGGTCGCCGCCGGCGTGCGTGACCACCTCGGCCCAGTTTCCACGACGTACGTGGTTCTTGTCTTTTCTCATCCTTGGCATGAAAATAATCCAAATGGTTAAAAAAAAAAGCAGGCTCCAGTGAGTGGAGAAGCCCGACAAGACAACCGTTTTAAACACGGCGAGGTTGGAGTTGTGGTGTTTCCGTTATTTTTTCCAAGATCCTCTGTGGGAGAGCCTTTCCTGGTCCGCCATGTCTTGTGCTGTGTTTTTTGTTTTTTTTTGGAATGATTGCGTTTGTTCCATAGCGTTATCATAGACGAGTGCGAGCACCGTGTGACCTCATTGCAGTTTTAAAGAGTAGCACCATTTTGCTCAATTCAGAGGCGGGCGCGTCAGTTCATTTTGCCGGCCCGTCCTTCTCCAGCGGCCGGAACGCCCGTCCGTCCATCTTTCTCAATCTGTCATTCTTTCAAGCCCAACCAAACTGGAATCTGCAATTCAGTCATCTTGCTTTCACGGCGCTTCCGTCGTCGCTCAACGAGAGTTTGGCGCTGCTATTTGAAGTCTGTCAGTCCTTTATGGTTAAATATAAAAATAGTTAAATATGTAAATGGTTCAGGAAAATCTTAAATTCATTGAACGGATGATTTTATTCAGGAGTCTACTCAAATGTCATGGCCCTAAAAACCCGGAGTCTCCCCTCCACCGGAACGGTTCGACCCAACCTGTCATCTGCCACCAAGCATCACGTCACTTGAAAACAATGTCAAAGGAAGTTCAGGATTGAGAACGTCTGATGTTGGATCATTTTTGTGCACAGTGTATTCATTAATAATGTCTTTAGTTTGTTTTTTTGTTCTATATATTTAATTGCAAGTAGTTCGAGAAACCAATCTACAAATGCATTTCCAAAGTTTGATAAGTCAGACAATGAAAGCACAGCACTCCGTTATCGTCAGTCGGTCCCGACCCGGTTACTGACGATGACGTTAACGGTTGGAAAGCCACTTCCGTCGCTGCTTGGTCCGTCCCTTTCTCAACGTTTCCAGTCAATTGTTGGCA